TTGGCTTAAGATAATAAATGAAGCCTTTTTCTTTCAAGTTAAGGGCACACATGGTGTAACAATACTGTATGTCGGCTAAGGTGATCCTAACGTTTTCCTGTTTAGCTAAGGCGATAATACCAAAAATCACTCGATAAGAGTTGACTGCCAGTTGCATGGTGTTCAACTTATAATAATGAAGAATCTCGCGAAAAAGGATGTTGAGTGGAAGCCGGAGTCCGCACTTAGTAAAAGCTACAATGGGAAGGGGCATGGCATTTTCTGTAGGCATGATGGAGTCGTCATCCCCAGCCAGTCTCAGGTGGACATCGGCAGGGATGGAGAACTCTTGCCTAAAGTACTCAAGTTTGGTCGGGGTATCTACCCTATGTCTCCACATACCCATGATATCGACTTCTATTAGAAGGATTGAAATTTAGAAAGATATTTCTTATTGATGGGACCTCGGCAAACAGTGAAAGTAGGTGTAGGTTTTTAGTTTTTTCCTAAGTTATGGGTTCTACAATCAAATCCCAAACCTAAAGCTATGAAGATGAAGATCAAAGGTACAGATCTGGAAAAGATACAAAAAAATAGAAAACAAATACGAAGTTTCAGAGTCAAGAACAGAGATGGACTATCAAGAACATGAAGAATACAAAGGGTTAAAGGCCAGGAAACAGTAGCAAGACATGCAAGAAACACTAAGAACAATACATGTATTCAGGGCATAAGCAAAATACAAAATCAACGCATTCAGATGTATGATCTACAAATTGATTATTTAAGTAAAGCAGTAGTAAATAAGAAATTCCAGGAAAGATCAAGAACTGGAATAGAAAGAAACAGATGCTTACCAGAAAAAGGGAGGCCGGAAAGGGATTTGCCGACGTCCTACGACGGTTGCAAGAGCAGAAGACCAGTGGAAATCTCGCCGGAAGGTGTGAACAGAGAAAGATACAGAGCTTTGGAAGCTTGAGCAATGACGGATTTGAAAGAAAGAGTTTTTAGAGAGAGAAAAAAAAGGCAAGAGAACTCAGATGCAAAAATGAAGAGACGAAAGAAAGGGGGAAAGATTTTGTCAAAAAATGAAAACGGCGGCAAAAGCAATCAATATGCCTAAAAGAGCCCATACGTCAGACGGCGCATGTGAAGAAGAGATGACTTATGGGCGCGTCACAGGCATGAGCTAGTAAGAAAGAAATGCGTGTCTAAAACGGTTGAATTAAAGTGCATGACAGCTCATGCGCATAAAAAGTTCCTTAAAAATCTTTGATTTTTTAGGGAAAGCATGTCGGCCAGAAATGAATGATCTTGGCTGTCAAATCTTAAGCCGATTTACTGGAAAAAAATACAGATATAGGTTCCATCACCTCAGAATGCTGAGGTAATCGAGATAATAGAACCTAAGAGGCAGTTGTGGGGATGTATTTTCTGAATACCAACACGTGGCAAGGTGATGCCGACGTGTTAGCCGAAGTGCCACGTGTCCTGGTTGTGACGCCGAGGTTATCTCCGAAGATATCGGAATCCGAGATAAGCGGATAATGGATAAGGGGCAAGAGTCCTAGAGTAAGGAGAAGACTTTGCTAAGATAAGGACAAAGCTCTTAGGGAGTTTATCTTTATCTCTTGAGAAATCCAAAGTAAGTACAGAATTGGAATCCATAGAAGTCAAGCTTCTAGTGGGACTAGGATTGAGTAAACTATAAAAAAGAGGCACCCTGTGGGTCTAAGGTACGCAATTTATGCTTTGAGCAATGAGTTTAGCACTTGATTATCTTTGAGAGATATACTGACTTGATCATCGGAGTGGCCCCGGGTGGAAGAGCCACCGCCGTAGCCTTTTCTTTCTGTTACAGGTTTGCTGAAACTATCTATTCTGCCGGTACTCTCCAGCTGATTACTAGGCGGACAGTGTGGTCAGAAAATCACTCACACAGAATCTATGTTCAAGATTCATGATTCATAATTCATGGTGTTCTTTCTTGTTATTTATTTGCCCCCAGCAAACACACACATATATAGATATAGATATATGTATATGAGTTGGTTGACAGGAATCCTAAAGAAAATCCTAAGCACGAACGACCGAAGAGGTGGCGGCGGCAACGGCGAGACATACGCAACCCAGCCAACGAAAGACCAAAACGAATCTCTCTCTCGTCTTCGAGAGACTCCTATTCCAACAACAACAATTGCATCTACAATAACAACAGTGTCAACAAAATGCTCCTCTTTCTGGAATTTCAAGCATTGAAGATGAACCCAGAAGACGATTAGAATCCAACAATTGCTTTTCCTCTTGGAATTGCGAAGCTAGCATCGTTTCGTCGCCGGTAGCGAGGCAATAACCCCTTCTCTCTCTGTTTTTGCTGCTTCTTCTGAAACATTTTTTTTATTAGTAAATTTCTTAAAAAGCAACAAAGATACATTCATCCAAATACTTTTGCAACTTGATTGTGGTAAATTTGTTGTTTATTTTCAATTACTAATGTCACTCATCTTTGTTATAGCTTTCTGATTAAGTATTAATATGGCTTTGTTTTTTCTCACTGTGCATCACTATCTAGGACAACAAATAGCACTGTGTTTGAAGTTCTTTAATAAAACGAGCTACCTAGAAATTTGTCACAGTTTGGGTCTGAATTAGTAGAGATTAAGTGAAAATGAAGATTGAAAGGACCTCGCCACTCAGAGTCGCCGTCTTCTCGCCGACTCGCCGTTGTCGTCCTCCGATCCTTTGTTCTTTCTCTGCTTAGGGGTCTCCTCAAGGTGCTTAGGTTCTCAGATCTGGGAATGGATTCGCGGAACCCCTTAAGGGTTGCCGTTGCCACTCTTGGTCGCCGGTTTCCGTCGACTGCTCTCCCCCACTCTCCGTCTATCTCAATTTGAGTCTCAGATTTAGGAATAGCGTTAAAAAAAAAAAGAAAAAAGTATCAACAGACGTGGTTTTGACATCACTAGAGGACCCTGTAGAGAATCCGGACTCAAATTCATGTCATAGCCGTCAGATTCGTGGAAAATGAGTTTTAGCTTTTTATGTTTTTTGTGGGACTAGTGTAAAATGGGTTATGTCCAAAGAAAAACATGTAACTTGATAACAAACGACAATCATTTTGACACCACCACAGGGACCCTGCAGAGGATCCCTACTCAAACACGGCTTCATGTCATAGCCGTCAGATTCGTGAAAAATGAGTTTTATTTTTTTAATTTTTTTGAGAAACAGTGTAAAATGGGTTATGTCCAAAGAAAAGCGGAAAAGGCTAAGCATTATGAAAAATATTTCATAAAAATTATTATGAATAAATTTCTATGTTTATATTACATTTCGTAATTTATTATATATCTAATTTAAAAGTTAAAAATCTTGATCATTTTCGTAAAATATATTTTTTTTTTATGATAGCTAGCAAATGACAATCAATCAGAAGCCACCGCAACAAAACATTGACCTTTTCCTTCCTCATCAGAGTCCGATTGATATTTCAACAAAAATCTCATGGATATCATTATAATTTACACTTATATGCGTGTCACTTTCATATGTATTATTCTGATTCTCAAATATTTGGCCTGCCATGGGAAGGGCTACGTTTCCACAGGCACGCATTCTCTCTCCACTTTCTTTCTCTCCCTAGGAACTAGAAACAAACTCCATAAGCTCCAAATCACCAGAAATCCAGACCCAATTTTGAGTCACAAATTGTTGTTTGATTCCAAGATCTCATCATTAATTTGCAAAGAGTCTGTCTGGTCTGCTGATTGAATATTTGTACAGAATGGGCAAGTGTATAAGCTTGACAGCGTTGCAAAACCAACGCTACAGGCACTCCTTCGGCAAGGCAGGCCTCAAATCAGTAACCACTGATCTCGGTGACGGCACCGTCATGCACTTCTGGATTCCCAAGTCCCACAAACCCAACAAGCCCACTCTTCTCCTCATCCACGGCATCGGTGCCAACGCCATGTGGCAGTGGAACCCGTTCATATCTCGATTCTCCTCCAAATTCAACGTCTATGTCCCTGACCTGCTCTTCTTTGGCGACTCCTACACCACCCTGCCCGACAGGACCGAGGCATTCCAGGCCCGTAGCATCATGCGGGCCATGGAGGCATACGGGGTGGCGCGGAGCATGCTTGTGGTGGGACTGAGTTATGGCGGATTTGTTGGGTACAGCATGGCGGCGCAGTTTCCGGAGGCGGTGGAGAGGCTGGTGATAGGAGCTGCTGGGGTGTGCATGGAGGAGAAGGACATGGAAGATGGGTTGTTCAAGGTCAAGAGTATAGATGAGGCTGCTACCATATTGTTGCCGCAGACCCCTGACAAGATGAGGGAGTTGGTCCAGCTCACGTTTTACAAGCCGCCCAAGATCCTGCCTTCATGCGTCCTTACCGATTTCATTCGAGTAAAGTCTTCAAAACTTTATGCTTCTCATACTCAAGACTCATACTGCCTAATTAAGTTGTTTGATTGTGACTTTTAAGACTCGTATCATAGTTGCTGCTAGAGGTGGCAAAGGGACAAGTTTGGTGGTGGCGGTGATGGTAACGGTGTTTGGTGGTTGTGGAATTGTGGCGGTGGCGGTGGCGGTGCCCAATCTATTTAAACCGAATGTTAATTGAGCTTGTAATATGAAATCTATCTATTTATGAATTTGGACAAATCTAAATGGATTTTAAATAGATATAATTAGTGGAGTTCATGATTTTGGGTCTAAGTTTACCAACTCTAGCTGGTATTAAATTGTTTTTCTTTTTAATGGTATGATAATCCAATAAATAAGGAAATTCACTCGTTGGAAACTAGGATTGTATGATTTTGTTGCCTTGTCTCTTAAGTTGGAAAATGCTGCAATCATTTGCTGCTCTTTTTACAGAGCCTGACATGGAAATTTGTGGATGACAAGAATTGTAAGTTCGTAATACCTCTGATTATGCCATCATCTATTGAATGTAAAAGTTCATCAAATCTGTGGTCATCATTATTGTTATTTTCTCCTAAATTTGGCTTAGTTTCTTGGTTAATGCTTTTTTTCCATTTAAGATGAAACCCTTATCATTTAGTACTGCAATTTTGAGGTTCTAATGTAAAGAGGAAAGAAATTTCCCTCATAAAACAAGTGCTGAAAATCAGCAGCAGTGTGCTGAAAATATGTTGCAGAATGCAGAAAATCTATATGATTAAGGAAAATCTTATAATGGACTCCATATTTGTCATGTGCTTTCGTGTAAGTGACCAAGATTTCCCAAAATTCTGTTCTCATAAATTGTTTATACTGTCATCCCTCAAGAATAAAAAATTGCAGGCATAGCAAAATATCAATTATATTGGGCAAATATTAATACACTGTTATCAATTGGATTTTGTTTCCAAACATTAAAGGGTCAACTAGTTAGCTTCAATTCCAAAATGGTATGTAAGACAGAGAGAGGGAGAATATATTAGAATTTAGAGTTTTACCCTCTTTTCATTAGTGAACCAACAACATTTCAGTCATTTTTATGCTCCTTGTGCTCTGTCTAATCAGATATGTTTGTATAATAATTGAATCCCCTGTATTGGTATCTATCCAATTTTTATCTATTTGCTTCTCATTAACTCACTCTATTATAAGATTTACCCGTTGTTGTTGGTGGATATCAATTATATTGGGCAAATATTAATACACTGTTATCAATTGGATTTTGTTTCCAAACATTAAAGGGTCAACTAGTTAGCTTCAATTCCAAAATGGTATGTAAGACAGAGAGAGGGAGAATGTATTAGAATTTAGAATTTTACCCTTTTTTCATTTGTGAACCAACAACATTTCTGTCATTTTTATGCTCCTTGTGCTCTTGTCTAATCAGATATGGTTGTATAATAATTGAATCCCCTGTATTGATATCTATCCAATTTTTATCTATTTGCTTCTCATTAACTCACTCTATTATAAGATTTACCTGTTGTTGTTGTTGTTGTTGGTGTAATTGTTGTTTGTGTTCGTGTTATAAAGCTCTAGATGGTGTCCATCTCAGAGTGAGATTTATCAGATATTTTGATATCTGTGCTTGATATCTGACTTTCACTTGTTAATGGATTTGTGGAGTCAATGAATATCCTACATTGTTCTAACTGAAGTTGGTTTTGTGAATTTGGCTGCTCTGCGCTGGGTGGGCAGGTGATGTGTACAGAATACCTTGAAGAAAGAAAAGAATTGATCCAAGCATTGCACAAGGACAGGAAACTCTCTGATCTTCCCAGCATAACCCAGGTTCTCTCTCTCTCTCTCTCTCTACTACACAGTTCACTACATCTTGTTGCTTCTACTTTATTTCTTGGATTCAAGGTTGATGATGAGAGGCCCATCTAATGGTTATAAATTTTTCCTTGATGTAGCCCACATTTATAATATGGGGAGATCAGGATCAGATATTCCCAGTGGAATTAGCACACAGATTAAAAAGGTCAATATCGACTATTATATAGATGTACATATATATGGACATTTTATTTAGTTATTATCTACTCCCTTTGGTCACCAAGGGGCCAGAGGAAAAGAAAAATGACAATTTTGAATCATTTGTTTCCTAACATGTCTTAAATTCTAGTACAATAATTCTGCAGTCACACAGCTAATTCGAAAATTGACCACAAAAAATATTAGTGAAACAATGTTAGCAGAACACACTTTTCAGTGGCGGATCTTATCTGATGTGTATGACGTGTTATAATTAAAGTATTATTATATGCACTAAACCCTTATTAAAATGTTATCAAAAGTATGTATGTCGAAACATCATTTAATATCAAGTATCATTATTTTTTTTTACAACCAATCATATTTGATCTCTTAACACTCTTAGTAAGATTTTTGTAATAAAAGTGTTATTATCAATAAAATTATTTTATGTGACTAATTTTATAGTTAATTTTGTGCTAGTGAAATTATTCATTTTAATATCCTTTGTCCTCTGGGCAACCAAGTGGGGCTTTTACATTTTTCTAAATCGGCAGTGCTGGGACCCCAGCACCCCCACCTTCACGTGGGGGCTGTGAGACCAAGAAAATAAAAAATAAATTTTTTTTTTTGGGCCAATCAAAAAACAGTGGGGGTGGTGGTGGGGTCACCCCACTAGGGGTCTTAGTCTTTTTCCTTTCTAAATTTTGAATGGCTTTCACGTTTGGAGGCATCATTTTTATTATTTAATTGTTTTCATTTTGATTTTACAGGCATTTGGGTGAGAATGCACAACTATTAATCACAAAGAATGCAGGGCATGCCATCAATATGGAAAAGACGAAAGAGTGGTTCAAACCCATGAGGTCATTCCTTATTGATCCTCTTCCTCCTAAGCATGAAAACCATGGCGATGATGGCAAGGCAGATGAAGAGGTTTAGGGGAAAAGAGGGTAGTCAATTCAAGATAGACTTACCACAGAAATGCATAAGAACAAAATTGAACTGTTCAAGTTTAGTTTGTGATAGACTAAATAAAAATTGAATATTTTTTTAATTGATCAAAAGATTAACAAATTAAGAGTTTACACATTAATTTACATTAAACTTAATTAAGTCACTGTTCGACTCGTTTATAGTCCTAGTCTGAGCTAAGAGAACATCTCATTTGGTTCAAGAATACTCTAGTTATAATTAGCCTGAATTTGTGATTAATTTTTTATTGAATTTTTTTGTTAAACTCTTTTTTTTCTATTTTTAGAGAATTTTTTTTAAAAAAAATTTACACTTTTAAGTTTTACTTGACTAGACATAGTAGAAAAGTAGATATACATGAAAAAAAGTTGATCAAAAAAAAAAAAAAAAAAGGAAAAGAGTTGACTCTTTTTTTTTTTTTAAAAAAAAATAAAAATAAATTAGATTTTGCATTTTTTAAACAACCTTTTGGATCCTTTTTTTTGGCATAAATTTGAAAAAAAAAAAAAAACATTTTTAATTGGATGTCAAACCACACCTTAATTTGTTGAAATTATTATCCCACGTGGTTAATTTTTGTTGATATTTGGTTTGGTTATGCTAGGGTAATTGTTGAAAGGAGAATTGTTCTACATGCTCCTCCTTTTTTGACTAGCAAAAATAAAATTTTATTGATGTATATTTAATGAGTACATAAATAATTAATTCCTTACATGAATATCAATAAAAAACCTATATAGAATGCAACGATAACTGACCCAAATACCCCCTACCATATTCCAAAAAACATGAAAATGTAGTTTCTTAACAAATTGAATGAAAATAGGAGTTGAAAAAAGTATAAAAAGTCACTATAACACTTACACAAAAAATATTGAAATAAGTTTAGAAACTTGTCACACATTGGAAGGAGAATAAAAGATAGAACTTTCAATAAAGAGTAACATTCAATATTCCTCCGAATATGATATTGTGGTATGGATGTTAGTGTATATGCACTTGCACTGTAAGGATTGTATGTCATCCACACACGACTGTGCATCATGGGATTCGAAAGTTGTCAAGCATTTTGTAAACTTTTTTTCTAATAATATAATATAATATAATATTTTATTTGACATTTTTGATTAATTATTATTTGTTTGCATTTAAAAAATCTCACAAGCTTTTCAAAAGCCATTTTTAAGCTTTAAATGTCTTGGTCCTCAACTTCGCCTCTACAAAATTAATTTTTAAAAATAATTGTTTGTAAAGTTTGGTGCTGTTACCACTATCATTTTACAAAAAAACCACCATTTAAAAATATATATATTTAAAAATAAAAAAATAAAAAAAATCGTGGACAAAAGCCCAAGCTCTTCTCCTATAAGACCATTATCATGGATAGGCTCATGGATAACAACCCAAAAAGTGGTTGGTAAGACCCAAAAATGGGCATCCTGGAACATTTTCTTGCAATCTGCCCAAAGACGGCTATCCTACAGTAAGGCCAAAATTGGTGGAGATTTCATGTTTTCATTTCTAATGGTGGTATTTAAAAAAAGAAAAAAAAAAGAAAAGAAAGCTGGTCACAAATTTTCCAATGCAACTTTGCAGAGAATGGTGCGCAAGCCTGAACAAAATAATAGGAAACGTATTAGAGTGGTGTTGATTATTGAACAAAATAATTTGAGTTTGATCACCATAGTTGTTCACTCAAGATACAAGACATACATTATACAATAATGGGTATCATTTATTCTGTAACAGTAAATAACACATCCAAGTAAAAGATTAAATCAACTTTCGTACCATAATCTTCATGCTTTCTTTTTCCTATTTTTCTTTTCCTTCCTTTTAAAGTCGTCGCTATATGAAGGGCTCATGATTCAACCGGAAATTGTGCTATTTTCCCTGCTTAGCTTTTGTGTTAGTATTGCTCACTATAGTGAAGAGCTTCTTTAATGAGCCTATCAAAGTTATTGTAGGATAACCCTCCAACATCAGTTGCTTCTTCTGCTTCCTTCTTCAATTCGAGAACTTTCTTTCGCATTTGCTTCCCCTTATCACCTTCCAACATTTCATTAATAAGTGCTACGACTTCATCGCGCTTCACATCATGATTAACCTCCATTCCAATCCCCCACTCGGTGCATGCATATCGACAATTTGTTTGTTGCTCAGCAAAGAAAGGCCAACAAACTATGGGTACTCCTTCACATATGCTTTCCAATGTAGAGTTCCAACCACAATGTGTTAGAAAGACACCAATTGATGGGTGGGAAAGTACTTGTTCTTGTGGGCACCAACTTGCTAGCAATCCTCTATCTCTAGTCTCCTCAACAAAGTGTTCAGGCAAGCTTGCTGAATCGCCCATTACAATATCAGGTCGAACGATCCAAAGAAATGGGTGCTTACTATTTGCAAGCCCCCATGCAAATTCCTTCAGATGTTGGTCTGTCATGACGGTTACACTTCCATAGTTGACATACACAACAGAGTTTGGTTCCTTTTTATCAAGCCATTGGAGACATTTCGTGTCTTCCTTCCATAAACTTGAATTAAGTGACTTGAATTCATCATCAATCACCTGCTTGGATAGCAGAGAAAGTGGCCCAATAGTGTAAATGTTATGGAACTTGGATGCGATAGCTTGCAATACCTCATGCTCCAATGTGTCGAAAGTGTTGAAGATGATTGCAGATGCTTTTAAGCAATTTTGTACTTCCTCACTCTGGTAATTGAACAGGATGTCATTAGGATCTGTGGTTCTGATAAAGGATGGCATGTCCTTGAGCCGAATGTTTCTCATGCCAGGGATCCAATCTATAGTTGCGAACTTGGATGCGATAGCTTGCAATACCTGATGCTCCAATGTGTCGAAAGTATTGAAGATGATTGCAGATGCTTTTAAGCAATTTTGTACTTCCTCACTCTGGTAATTGAACAGGATGTCATTAGGATCTGTGGTTCTGATAAAGGATGGCATGTCCTTGAGCCGAATGTTTCTCATGCCAGGGATCCAATCTATAGTTGTGTCAAGAGAGCCATCTCTTTGGAAACTCTCATCTGGAACACTCAAGGCCATAATTACATTCTTTTTTCACTTTAATTCCAAAAAATTGAAGCAATAATATTCAAACAATTATACAGATACATATATTCCATGCATGGTAAATCAATAAAATAAATAATCAAGTCATGCAATTCTTCTTGGGCATAGCATAATGTGTTTTAGAGTATATATAATAGCATTAATAAACAAAGAGCATTGCTATTCTGGCCTAAAAGTTAGACCTATTTTTTAGAATCATTGATGTGTTAAGAAAGAGAAGCACATCTACTCACTAATCAGTTAGAAAAAGTAATCAATCTCAATTACACATTAATTTATTTTTTTTGTAAACTTCTAGATATTATTGTATGTGAAGTGACATATTTTTAATTAAAAGTCATCTATATTTACCAATTTTGTTTTTATAGTACTTGTATTATCTATACTATTATATTAAAAAAATTCTACAAAAACGTACATAAGACCGTAAGTTTAAGGTAAAAACAATTTTACCACTTAGACAATATATGTATTATAATAATAATTTCACTAACATATATTTTAATTCTTATTTATTTAAATTACACATAATTCTTTGAAAATTAAGGAGAAAATAACGTTTGTGATAAAATTAGAAACCATTGGAAGGGAAGATTGGCATAAGAATTAAATATAACAACAATGCTTGGAAACCCAAATTTTTATGGTTTGAATGTTTCAAAACGACAAAACGACGTTGTTTTGGAATAAAACGACGTTGTTTTGATGCATTCGAATCATTCGGACCACAAATTCGAGTTATCAAGCAATTCCTTCAATATAATGAGTATTTTGAAGAAGAGGAAGTAAGTAAGTAATACCTTTGAATGGGAAAATGCCTCTTTGGACAAGTTGAGGAAAGTGAAGGTAGGCCATGAAGCCACAAGCCGATGCAGTCCAAAATTGCACCCCTGGAATCCCAGCTTCTTCTGCGGCTTTCATGGCAAAGTTCATAATTCCATCAGATACTACGCACGTAACACCTGGCACTTGCCGCGATGCAATCGAGTTGTTGTTGTTGTTGAGCTTATTTAATAAAACTCGAAAGGGATCCAAACAGTTGTCTCGAATTGCGATGCAGAGGGTCGGAGGATCTTGAGTGGCATCACGATCGGACGGTGGCAGCCCATCCGGTATAGTCTCAAACTGGAAATCAGCAAAGCCCTTTAGAAATTCAGGACCTTTGGATTGAAGCAAGCGTCTGTGGTTGAACTCGGTGTTGACGAAGGTGATGTAGAAGCCTCTAGAGTGTAGAAGCTTGGCCAGTTGCATCATTGGGTTTATGTGACCTTGTGCTGGAAATGGTACACAAACTGCATGGGGCTGCTTTCTGCTACCCATAATAACTAATATCAGCGATGCCAATTCAAACTGTAAAGTTAGTTTGTATATAGAGCTAGATGTCACTTAATTTAAGCATGTATGCATGGTGTACTTATTTATTAAGGATGCCAATTGAAAATGAATATCCTATATCCATCCATTGACATATCAATAAATATACTAATAGATAGTGTTATATAATTTTAAAAATTTTAAATTTTTTTAATTTGTATAATAGGTAAGATCATAATTTTAAAATAATAATATCATAACATATATTGATATACTAATGCCGTATTTGGTTAAAAAATTTGAGAAAAAATTTAAAAAAAAATTAAAACAAATAAATAAAATATATTTATATTTCACCTAATTTTAGACACATTTTTTTTTCCTTTTTCAAATGTCTCCCAAGTCCACATTCCACAACTACCACAACTAAACACAGCGTAATTGGTGCGTATTGTACACCGATTAAAAATTGACGCGCGCGTGTTTTGACTGGCAAACCATTGATCAAATAAAGACACAAAAGCAGTTTCGTGTACCAATTAGAATTGGTCATATAAACCAAGCCAAACTTCTGTTAACCAATTTGCAATGTGGTCAAATTGCTGTAAATTTTAATTCGGTAATACTATAAATTTAGACTTACGGATTTAGAATTTATTTAAAAAAAATAATTAATAATTCAAATTTAATTTATTCATAAATTTCACACTTTTATTTAAGGGTAGGCGCAGGTCGGTTGCGGCCACGGAACCTCCAAT